ACCCTATTGATCACTGTAACAAATGTTTCTATTTATATTATTTGATATATTTATATAAAAGCTACAAAAAAAATTTCTAATGAAAAATTATATACATCTATTTGCAAGATGATTAGATAAAATCGATGGTATCAATAGCATTCTTAGTAGCAATTAATTTTTCAATAAGTATTAGTTCATCAAGAGAGTTTTTGTAATCGTTAGCGTGTTAGCCTAACATTTGAATAATTAAATTTATACCTGTCTTCTTATAATTTTGTATATACGTTTGAAAAATTTTTATCAACGATACATTATTAATAAATCTATTTATTGTTTTAATAAATATGTTTATTTCTAGTAAAACACGTGCGGTGTTTTAAATCGTATTCACGATTCTGTATCGTGATTTCATCGTTAACAATGGTGAGAATTCAAATAATAATTCGTGAAAGAAACATACGTATAATTAATTAAACACATACACACACGCACACACACAGTTAATAGAAATATTAAATAAAACTTAGAAAATAAATCGGTTGTTAATGAAAAATATACTTTTGATTTGATAACAAATTAATAGAAAACGAATTGAGAGAAAAAGAATTCAATTTGCTGAACAAACGAGATTAATATAATTAATAATTATAAATAATTAATTTTGAATATCGTGTTGAGAAATATTATTAACAAATAATATTCTTACCGAGCACGTATCCAAGCCGACATGTGTACAGTGAAACGGCCAAGCTACAACTGCCTCGACTGTTTACATGTATAAAGGAAAAAAGTAAACACAGGTATAGAATATAGTTTCTATCATTTGAACGTGTTTGGAAAAGGTCAGGGACGCGATTATTTATCAAAGTTCTTTTTCGTTCGTAATCTTGCGAAAAAAGTCAACTAACGATAATATAAAACGTTCTCGAACGAATTTATTATTTTATTAAATAAATCTACACTTTTTTTTCTTTTTTAATATTTTCCGATTGTCTGTAAATGGGATAACGGATGTTCAACAAAAATTCATATTTTTTTTACTAACTTTGTTAATAAAAACAAAACAGGATTTTTTCAACGATATAATAAATTCATATTTTACCAAGTTTATAAAATTTTTAAAATAAAGCAAAAATGATGAAGAAATTTTGTGTACTTTTCAATTAAAAACCAAACATTCGACAGATTAAATTCGCGTTATGAAATTTTCTTAAATCTTTCTCGAAAAATCTTCCTACCGACAAGTGTTATTTTGTCTTCTTCTTCTTCTTCTTCTTCTTCTACTTTTTTTTTTTTTCCTTTTCATTTTTATCTACGTTATATATACATATACATATGTGTTTTTTTTTTCCTCGACAGAAGTATAATATCTCTTATGTAATTCTTTCATTCGCATAATCCCACCTGTGTAAATTAGAACGCTTGACGTTTCATTGACATATCGTCATTTGAGTACTCTCTGCTCAAACGTGGCACACGCTAAAATTATAATATACTCTAATTAAATAAACCGGGCTCAAATATTTTTTAGCTAATTTACTTTTTTCTTTCTTTCTTTCGATCAATTACTTATTCCCCGTACTTTCCATCATTGACTTTCCTAATGCAAAGAAGAATGTAAAAAAAAAAAAGAGAAATCATTCGACGAATATTTGGCCCATATAGAATAAATTTTTATTGCGCACCTCCTCCTATCCTCCCACCCTTCCCATTTCCATTCCCTCACACCCATACACGTATACACGTATTTACGTAAAGATGAACGCTCGTTCGTTTTTAAAAAGAGTCGACGTTTACCCTCTTAAAACGTAATTCCTCCGATGAAATAATAATACGCGAGAGCATGTAGGGATTCTGTTAAAAGGAATAAAAAAAACAAACGAAAAGGGAAAAAAGAAAATGGGGGGATGAACGTAACATTGGCGATATGAAGTATCGTAATTACCTCGCTTCGTACTCGTTGAAGATGTTAACTACTCTCGCTAAAGTAACACACCCCTTCAAATTCTTCATCACGTTTGCACCGAGAAAGCGCGAGAAAATAACAGACTAAGAGATGAGAAAAAACAAACAAATAAAATAGAAGGAAGGAGATAAAAAGAGTGAGAGGGAGAGAGAGAGAGAGAGAGAGAGAGAAGAAACAGGAGGAAAGAGGAAATACATTGGTGAAGGATCGGAGGGAGTAGAAGTGAGGCTAAGTGCGATAATTAGTGTTGCGAAGGGTTCCCTTGGTTATCATCGTGATGCATACGAGAGATATCTCAAGAGAGAGAGAGAGAGAGAGAGAGAGAGAAGAAAGTAAAAAAAGGAACGTATATGAAAATGCTCTCTCTCTCTCTGTCAAGATAAAATAAAATATTCGTCTATTTTTAACACGACCTTATCTACACAAGAAATGTTGTATCTTTCTGTATATGGTAAAGAGAGAGGGTAGAGAGGAGGATAGGGGAAGATTATGGGGGGGAGGGGAATAAACGAGTAGGTAGGTATACGTCAAATCGGAATAAAAATAAAAAATGTATATATGTTAATATATTCTTATGTATAACTTGTTTTTTTGTGTAGATTGTACGAGTCGGGTGACATATGTTATCAAATTTTTGCGTCGAAAAATTAAACACCTGATCTCACATTAAATATTAAATATTCAATATTAATAATATTATTCGCATTTTTTCTTTCTTTTTTTTTTTCGTAAATATTAATAATTCTTATTTTATAGTAATATATATCTCTCTCTCTCTGTGTGTGTTATTTGATCTGTTATCGTTATAAATGTTATTCGAAATATCTTTTTGTGGGTTAATATAATATTAATTGGTTTACGCATTAAAATGAATTAATCGATAAGTTGACTAGCATTGAGTTAACCTTAAATTTGTTATCGTATTAATGCGAAGGTAATCAATGCGAATGGAAAATACAAAAAAAAATATACCTGTATATAATAAATCCTTGATAAAATCAAAATGAAATGGTTCGATGTAATATCATCGAAACCATTTCTTATGAATTTTAATGAGTCAATATAAGTTGATCGAATGAAACCAACGTTAACGTTAAAAATAAATAACCTTAGATAAATCAGTAATAAAAAAAAAAAAGAAAAAAAAAGAAAGAAAAGTAAATGTGAAAAAACACGTATGAACAAAATCTATCGCAAAAATTACATTGGAAATTTTTCGAATTATTATGTACGATTACATGCGATAGAAAATAATTTAAAAAAAAAATCCATAAGTAGACTGATTATTTAAGAAACGGTATTATAAGAGTTATCAATGTGCGATTGTACAACAAAAAATGTATATAAATCTTTGATACGGCAAAACAAAAAACAAACAAAAATAAAAAGAAGAAGAAGAAAAAGAAGAAAAAGAAGAAAGAACATTATTCGAACGTAGCAAAAGAAGGGAAAATAGTATACATAAATAGAAAGAGACTACTTTTATCATTAAAAAAAAAAAAAGAAACAAAATCCCTGTGTGAAAGCATTTCACAAGAGTTAACGAACTAATTAGGACGTAATAAATCCTGAAATCGTTATTGTTAGTTATCGCGTGTCGGTGTATCAACGAATCCTCAGAAAGGGAAAAATTGTTAGAGAAAGTGAGATAGGAAAGAGAGAGAGTGAGATAGGGAACGATGTCAATGGGAAAAGAAACAGATTCGTGAAACGAACAAACGAAACGAAACGATATGAAACGATACGAATACGGATACGGATACGGATACGGATACGGATACGATACAAGAAGCAAAGGATGAACGTCGCGAAGTGAAACACACCGGCGAGCATTCGTAGAATGAAAGAACCTTTTCAGACACAAATCATGGCGCAAAGTGAGCTCTCTGTTATTGCGGATTGACGATTTAACGCCCGTGCTGGGAAATTCTAAAAAGAAGAGAGAGAGAGATAGACAGAGATAATTATCAAAGGGTTACGGATTATTTATCGTAGTCTCAACGAGATATACGATGTAGCATCGGAGCTTGGAATACGGGATAAATAATAGAAGGGAAAAAATGGGGAGTGGGCTGGTGCTGGGGGTGGGGGGTGGGGGTGGAGTTGAAAAAAGATGAGTAGTGATAGTCCTGACGTAACGTTTTAAAGAAGAGCACGAAGTTACGGTAAAGGAATAATAAAAAAAAAAAATCAACAGGAAAAAGATATTGAAAGAAGGAAAAAAGAGAGAGACACAGAGAGAGAAAGAGAGAGAGAGAGAGAGAGCAGAGCAGATAAATGGAAAAAATGTTATAGTACCCCAGCTGTTTTCTGTCACCGACGGCACATAATCGGATCTGAAGAATTATAAGAAAAGAAGCGAGAAAGCATGTTCTCCCGTCTCTGCAAATTGTTCGAAATATTTTTTTTGCGACCACCCTCCCCCCTTCCCCCCGCCCCATCTTTTTTTTCTTTCTTTTTTATTTGTGTATATTTTCATTGTTATTTTTTTTTGCAAACAAATCTCCTCGCGTTCCTATTTTTATTTATTACTGTTAATACTTGGCGTGCGCGAAATAAGTGGGGAGGGGATGAATATATGCACATGCGTTTTTACTTTTAATCTTTTTCTTTCCCCAAAATAGAATTCATTTCGTTCTGAAAAAAGAAAGAGAGAGAGAGAAAGAAAGAGAGGAAGTGAATGAGAAAAGGATAGAGAATCTTTGGTATAGAAGATAACAGGAGGGTAAAAAGATAGGCTGGAAGCTGGAGAGTATAACGGAGAGGTAGAGAGAGAGAAAAAGAGAGAGAGAAAGAGAAAGAGAGAGAGTGTACATCGCGCTCGCATATTGTGCAAGAGGATTACCTTGGATTATGCCCGACTGAGCGCAAACAGGATCTCACCGGCTTGTGTTTACAAGACGCCAAGCTGTCGATTTAGTAAACTCGAACTCAACTCTATCTCTCAACGAATAGCAACCGATTCGAATCGGATCGCGATTAACGCCATAAACCATAATATCTACCCTCGGCATGATTTAAACCTCCTCCCTATATCGTACCTATCTAATAAATAATATTTCCTTACGACAAATATCCGAAATTACTTATTTAAAATAATATACAATATTAAATATCTATTACGAGAGTAGTAGATAAATACGATGATTAAAATAATATTAATCACAAACTTAATTACGATGATAGATAATTTTGCAATATTACTTAGATAATGTTTATTATTTATAATTATATCGTAATCGTAATTCACTAATGCACAATTATAATATCGAGTACGAATAAGAAGTATTTCAAATTTATGTGATACCAAAATTCTTGGACACAATGTTTAGTTTTTCTTTTTTAATAATTACATATGTTTTCCAATTATATTGCATTAACTTATTTAATTTTGAAATATAATTCAATGAAAGTAATATCTCGTAACAATATATCCTACTTCCTTCCCCCAGCGCCCCCATTGTTTTTATGCCCTTTTCATTTAATTCGATATTAATTCGAACGTAAAGAAAATGTTATATTATACGCGTGTATATACGTATAATTGGTAATTTTTTTTTTTTTTTTCACACAAAATTCGTCACGAGAGTTTAAAACGTTTCTTGGTTCAATCATTTCCTAATTCATCCACCACCACCCCCCCCCCCTCTTTCTTTGATTTCATCCCTATCCTAATTCATACGACAACGTGTTCGAAACGTAACGGTGACAACGCGATACGCGAGAAACAACGTCGGCTTGGTATTATACAACCGGATGGTAATAGGTTCCATATCCAAGAGCTGCCGGCACATTATGCTTTACATTTCCGGGGAAACACTGTTAATGGCACTGGCACCGGCAGTACCAACACAATCACTATCACCATCATCACTACTATTACTACTACTATTACATTACTGTATTCCTGTTAAACATGTACGCACACACACGTATGTGAATGTCCCAAATGTCACCGTTTCTGACGCAGCGCACGTCAAAATTCATCCCCCATAATGTATGTATGTATGTACGTATGCATGTATATATATATATATGTATGTATGTATGTATGATATATATGTCTCTCTCTAAAGATATATATCTCTACGTATATATATATGTGTGAGCTCAAATTCGTGGGTATTAATTGCTTGCACTGCCGCATACGCATTGACTTCTATACACCCATTATGTTACCCGTTAACGCACATCTATAATATCCGTTCATTGATTGATAATAACACGAAAATGAATGAGAGAGAAAGAAGTAGTAGAGGTTTCCAATTATTTCGTTTACTCATCGATATTATATTCAAATCATTACGTTTTCAATGCGAACGAATTAATAATTCTATTTAATCGATTTGTACTTTTATATAACGGAAATAAATACAAAAAAAAAAGGAAAGAAAAAAAAAGAAAACCAGACACGAAGAAAAATTGTCATTTATTACATTTGATTTTTTGTTTTTTTTCTTTTTTCTTTTCGTTCACAAATTGATTGCAATCGATTTGGCCTTGTTTCAATGTTTTACTCGTACCAGATAAATGGATGAAAGTATTTGATGTCTTTATGCTTGTTTAAATGAGCTTATATAACAAACAAACAAAAAAAGAAAAAAAATAATAGCGTGTGCGTTATCGTTAAGAGGTGTAAATAGGTATATGTATATGTAAGTATATAAACGAGAGCAACGTCAAATTATCTTACTTAGAGTCGAGACGAGCAATCGATCGACCGTTTACACTGCTTAAGCGAGTGGAACCAACTGCAAGAAGCGACACCATATGCAACTTAATTGTCTACGAACGATACTAAAGTCATGCCAAGTTTCATACTCATGCTCTGACTCTCTCTCTCTCTCTCACACACATCTTAAAAAAAAAAAAAAAAGGAAACAATATTACTCGTGATATCTCGCATAAAAACTTTGCATTCTCTCGTATTTAAATTATTAACGTTATTTAAGAATATCACTTCAGCAATAATACAAAAATAAAAGTGATAATAAAAATGACGTTAGATCCAAATTTTGCATAAGCAAAATTTAAGAGTCACGGTATTACGCAAAATATATTTTATTCGTTATTTAAATAAAAAAAAAAAATCTTGAGGTCAATAATACATACATACGTACATACATATATATGTCAATATTGTTAAATAAGAATGAAATAACCCATAGAAACAGAAATAGGATCGAATTGCACCCTAAAACGATTTTCAAAAGCTACCGCTTTCATTTTCGTATCGAGTACCGATCGACGAGAAGCTTTTTCATCTCGAAAGCCACGAAAGGAACCCTCTCTCTCTCTCTCTCTCTCTCTTCATCTCTTGCACTCTTTCTCTCTCTTATCCTCTCTCTTGACGATGGAAAGGTTCGTTCACAATGGTTGGCGTCGAATACGTCACCGCGGGGTGTCCGCACTTGTGTCGCCTTGCCATTCTCTCTCATTCTCTCTCTCTCTCTCTCTCTCTCTCTTTTTTTCTATCATTCTCTCCGTCTTTCTCTCTCTCTCTCTCTCTCTTTATTTACTCAATCTAACTTGCTTTACGGATTTGCCACGGCAAATTCATAGTCTATCGCCTAATTACCCTATAATACAAGTGAAAGAGAAAATGAGAAAGAGAGGAAGAGGGAGAGAGAAAGAGAGAGAGAGAGAAAGAGAGAGAGAGAGAGACAGATTGAAACGCATTCATCTTCTATAGAATACCATAGCTATTGTGTTTTAAGCTGTATTATTAGAGACGCCTACATGCAATTTATACCGGTAATTATTACCGATACTGTGATTAAATGTTAAAAGAGAACATCATTCCTATTTAATTCTGTTCTTTTTTTTTTCTCTGTACTTTTTTTGTTTTTTTTTTTTTTTTAAATCATTTATAGATAGTAATATATTATTGTTATTCTACTAAAAAGAATGATATTTTAAAAAATTTTTACGTGTAATTTTAATATATTATAATCTACGTATATATATCACAATTTTGGAATTCTTTTCAAAGATTAAACTTTTTTTCGAACTAGAAATATTTTATACTATACACATACGCTTATTATCGATTGTCGTTTAATAAAAAGAAATTCTTTTTTTTCCAACGCGTGTGAGAAAATGATTATTCATATAATGATAGTGATAGAAAAAAAAATGTTAAGATAAAACATATGTGAAAAAAAAAAAAATATGACGCTCATAAAAAGACGCGAAAATCGACTAAAATCAGAAACGTATATTTAGATGTACCTCATTTTTTCTAATGGGTACAATTCAAATATACATATATGATATATATATATATACATTTTTTATATTTTACGTAAGTTATTCACGATTGTGATTAAATAGAAGAAAACTTATCTTACGCGTGAGAAAAATTAATAATCTCGGGAATGAAAATAAAAATATTAAAAATATAAAAATTCATATACAAAAAAACTAACAAAAAAAAATAATATATATGTATATATATATATATATACATAACGCTCATAGAAACTGGAAGAGAACTACGGTGTGAAACCTCAAAACCACAGAGCAGTCTCTTCGCGGAAAAGATCAAAGCGTAAAGCACGTGATCACGTACCAAGATCTCTCTCTCTCTCTCCTTTTCCTTCTTTCTTCTTCCTTCTTCTTCTTCCTGATCTTCTCTCTCTGTCTTTTTCTTTATTTCTTCCGACGGCCGACGGGGGTTGTTGTCGTCTACTTCTTTCGATTTGTCGTTCCCTCCACCTCCTCGATCGGCAAGAAAACGATTTCTTGTATCCTTGAAATATTGTCTTCTTTTTCTATCCTCTTAAATGATCAACGATGATGATGATGATCTACGATGATCTATCCTTACCAATCGTGTTGTCACTTTGAAGTTCTATTTTATTATACACACGCGTATATTAACACTTATTTAATTAATCCTCCTCGAGTCTTTTTAAAAATTATATTCAATCACGATAATCGATTTATAATATATTTATGATTTTTTATTATTACTATTATTATTATTATTATTATTATTATTATGTATTAAACGTAATAATAACGCGCACAAAACAACCGACCGATCTATTTAATAATTAATCTATCTATCTATCTATCTATCTATCTATCTTTTAATCTATCTTTTTCACAAAAGATAGATTTCAATTAACAGTGCAAGAAGAGTTGCTGATCATTTAAACACGTTTAATTGTATTTGTTTCAAAAGGGACGAATTTTATTTAAATTAAACCTCACGTTTGTGTTAACCCTCACGGCGAGTATTAATCCAAAACAGAAACCTCCTTTCTCTTTCTCTCTCTATCTCTCTCTCTCTTTATCTTTCTATTTATCTCTGTTTCTATTTCTCTCGTTCGTTTCGACAAGTTCCGCAAGGATCGGTTGCGACGGGACGATCCGCACGATAAGAACGCACGTGTCTTTCTGATCGGGTCACCTTCTTTTCGCGTAGAAATAAGAGAAGAGTAATATGGTGGTGGTAATATGGAAGGAGATGTCAAAATCGTACGGTCTCGATGGAATTTCGTAGAAAAGTTTAACGCACTCTTTGCTATTTTCTCTTTTTATCTATCCATCCATCTATCTTTCTTTATCTTTATCTTTTTCCTTATCTCTATCTCTTTCTCTTTCTCTCTCCTTCTCTCTCTCTCTTTCTCTCTCTCTCTCTCTCTTGTTCTTTTTTGAACCCCGTGCGCGTTACTCGCCGTGCGCTCTCCTCGCCGTGAGGAAATATTATTAGGCAAAGTACACGCACGGACTGGCACGGTAAGACTTGGCGAACTCTCGTTGGGTCGTGGCTAACAGCTAGAGCCGCGGCTACATCGCTTACGCTCGACCAATAAGAAACTTCCTTGGCTTCCCCCACCATTGTCGGGGTGAATTTCAGTGGTGGGGATACTGCCTCCGCTTCGTGACATCATCGATTCTGAATGGTGGAGATGCTCGACCGTGCGGAAGGCACATCGGAGGGCGCGTGCTGTGCAACACTTTCGCGCATGCGCACTTACTCACGCGCGCGACTATACTACCTCTATTTCTTTCTCCCTTATTCTAACTGCATATACACACGCACACAAATATACACGCGTATTTTCGCACATACACATATTATATATACACGTATGTTCGTATAATCGTGTAACTGTGTTGTGTCTGTGCGTGTCTGTGTGAGTGATGTGTGTATGTTCTCTTCTTATATGTGCTTGCCACTGCTTTTACCACCACCACCATCACCATCATCATCAACACACCACCATCACCATCAACCACCACCAATGTTACCACCACCGCCACCACCACTGCACGAAAAACGCTACCCACGCTGAGAATTCGCGCCAGACGCGACTTGGCTGTCCAGCCGATCGCTGAACATTGATAACTACGTAGTATTTTGCAACTATTATTATTTCGTTTCTACTAGTTCACACTTTCGACAATCTTTTTCTATCGTTTCGATTATTACCACCCTCCCGCACCCCCAACTTTGTCTTGCATTTTACTTTTATTCTTTTTATAACTTTAAAAAGAGAGATATTTTTGTATATGGGATTATATAAATGGTTTCGTCGTGTTTGTTTTTTATTTCTAAATTAAAAAAGGATACATTATCGATGATAATCCTAATCCGATTAATTCACGTATAACTCGTGGAGATTTTTAAAATCGTGTCATTAGAATTAAATATACGAAAGAGAAAATGAGAATATAAGTAGTGGTGGGGTTTTTAAGGAATCGATTAAATCATTTGAAGTTTCACCGATCATACATTTAAATAAGATTAACAATTAGATATGAATTACGTAACTCGTTAATCATTTGTCAACTTATTAAACCAAAAGATTTCATTTTTTTTCCCCCTTCGAAAAATAGTTAAAGAGAAAAGTATGAGGGTTGGGTTGAGTTGGGGTAGAGTGGGAGGGGGAAGGGAGGTAGGTAGGGGGGTGGTTGAGTTAGTTCGGTTTAAAGCGTAGAGGAATTTTTGTGTACGCTTTTGGAAAGGCGTTTGCCGTGCTTTGGCCTGGTAGGATATTAAAATATAATTGGCGTTTGTCCCCTTTGTGCAAAACAGTATCTAGTCACGCGTGCCTCGGCCGTGGGTGTTATGCACGCCAGAGTAGTCCGCGAACGTCGGCTGACTCACCCACCCTCTTTTTTCCTACCACCGTGTTCAAAGATCTATGTGTATCTATCTCTATCTCTATCCTATCTATCTTTGTCTCACCCTCTCTCTCTCTCTCTCTCTCTGTCTCTCTCTCTGTCTTTCTCTCTCTTGCACTTATTCTTTCCATCTCACCCTGTCGTGGATGGACTGACGTTGAGGTGGGGGTGTCGTTGCATCCACCCCTGCCGGTAGTGCGTGTGTCTACGTTTTCTCGCTCCCTCATTCGTTCTTTCAAAGCAAGCTCCTTTCACACGAACTTATTTACTTTTTCCTTTTTTTTTTTTCTTTTTTTTTCATTCTTTCGAATGAATTAAAAGATCGTTCAATTTTTCTATTCGAATAGGAAAACGTTTTGATGCAAATTATAAACACGCGAAAGAAAAATTACTTATCGACGATTTAAATAGAATCGTAACTCTTCTATATTATATCGATTTTTAACCTGTTAAGGGGTGGGGGTTATTTTTAAAAGATTATTATTTTTATACGATATGTCGCGCGTATACGATTAATAATTGTCTATTTAAAAATCACTCATACTTATATGCGACGTAAACGGTTAATGTTAAAAGAATAGTTAAATGGAAGATAAATATTTTGAAATAGATTTTTTTTTAGAATAAAATATATAATAAATTGGTATGTGTAATTATTTACTTATTGTTAAGTAATTTCGTTTACATATTCGATTAATTCATCAACGAAATTCTTGACCCAGTCACGAATAATATACTTTGTCAATTAATTATTACATTTTAATTGATTAAAGTATTAAAGGAAAACTAATTAAAGTTAAGAAAGAAAAAAAAGAAAATTATAATAATTAAAGAAAACGCGTAAAGTATAATAATGTCAAAATCATCGAAGGATAAAATTGAAGAAAGTCGGTCGTTCTTGCTGTCGAGATTAGTATACCGATTAGAATGATTCGGAGTCTAGTCTCGAGGAACGATGTGAACTCGGCTTTAGGAGGATCCACGCGGTGGAAGTAACGCGTTTCGATTTTGCGTTAGCTCAGCTACGCGTGAATCCAGCCAAGGTCAAGTCGTTCCCCGCTTCCGAGCATAGCATCCCTCCGGCACTCGGGCAGGGTTCTTAAGATCGATTCCAACCAATTTTCTCTTGTAGCCTCGATCCGATATGCCAAAATAGAAAGAAACAGATAAATAAGGAAGAAAAAGAAAGAGAGAGAGAGAAAAAGAATGAAACAAGTTTCAATGATATTTTTTTTTATAAAGATTACATATACCTTTCTTTGTTTTTTTTTTTTTTTTTAGATTAGAAGGTTGAATGAAGTTAAATTTAAACACTTGTCGAGAGAATGAGAAATAAAATAAGTCGATTAGCTGATATCAAATGTCATTTCGTAACTTTCGTAAATACGAGACGTAAGAACAGTAAAACGTAAGTAGTTACGAGTAAAAGATAATTTTTCTGTTAAGAAATAGATATATATATATATATATAAGACTATAATTAATTAATTAAAGACTATATATAGATATTTATATTATTTTGCACCAAAAATTCGATAAAAATTCCTTTTTTCCAACGTAAAGTATTTCTTTTTCTTTCTTTTTTTCTTATTTTTTCTGTTATCGACTCATTCTCCTATTTGTGCTCCCTGATTGTTTTATCACACTTGAACAAACGTCGAATGATCGCAACTCCCACGAGCAAAGTCAATAAGTTTCTCCTTAACTTCTTTAAAAGTCAGTAAAGAAAAAAAAACGAAGTGAGAACGATTGTTTACCCACTCTGAAGTATATGTACTTACTCCTTGCTTATATACTGATAATATTATTTACATTTTAACGAAGATACATACACGGAATTTTATTTTTTTGAAAATTCTCACTGTACTAATATTACCTAACCATCCCTACCTGACGTAACCGATTTATTTCTTATCTTGGCAGATGACCATTTTTTTGTTCTTTCTTTTTTTCATTTAAAATATAATTATTTTACACATTTCTCGCGTTTACTTACTATATATATATATATTATAACACTATATCTTATTATTATATTATAATTATAAATTTATTGATAGAAAGTTATTATCGTGTCAGGCATAATAATGCGGTTTTAATTAATTGTTGTTTAATAATAATGATTAAAAAATAATATTTATAAAATTTCTTCATCAACGATAAACGTAAATTTATGATTATATTTTATTAAATGAAATACATAAGTGATAATATAGAAGTAAATCTTAGAAAATCTTGCATTTAATCATTTAGTATTCTTACGAACACACGAATTCGAGTATAACAGGTGAGAAACTGCAAAGTATAAGACCTCACGTTAGTAGAAAAGAGAATGAAAGATAGAAGTAGTGAGGAAAGGAAAAAGAGAGAATGAAAGAGAGAGAGAGAGAGAGAGAGAATTAGAGGAAAGGAAGTGGAAGGTGGAAGGGCAAAACAAACAAATTAACGGTAGAGTCGCTTGTTTATTGTTGGGTGGGGACACGGTAACCACGCCTTTGTCAAGCACGCCCTCTGAGCGTTATGTTCCCCCTTTTTTCCCCACCACCATCAACGCCCCATGCTAGTAGAGTTGCCCCCGCCTACCCCCACTCGACCAGCCAACACCACACGACTACGACGAGTACGACGATGACGACTACGACGACTACTACGACGATGAGGATGAGGATGAGGACGAGGACGAGAACGAGGACTATGAGGAGGAAACGGTGGTGGAAGTGACGTCAGACTCGATGCCGCCAGCGTGCAACAGGCGGCCCCGGTGGTTGGTGCTTCAACACAATCCAC